ACTTTTTCCCAAACACATCTCCTCGGGCAAGGGAAACAAAAGAAAAAATGAACAAATGGAACTACATCAAGCTAAAAAGCTTCTGTACAGCAAAGGACACCAGCAGAAGAACAAAAGGGCATCCTACAGTATGGGAGAATATATTTGTAAATGACATATCTGACAAGGGGTTAACATCCAAAATATACAAAGAACTCACATGCCTCAACACCCAAAAAGCAAATAACCTAATTAATAAATGTGAAGAGGATATTAACAGACATTTCTCCAAAGAAGAAATTCAGATGGCCAAAAGGCACATGAAAAGATGCTCCACATGGCTAATCATCAGAGATATACAAATTAAAAGCACAATGAGATATCACCTCACACCAGTTAAAATGGCCAACATCCAAAAGACTAGGAACAACAAATCCTGGTGAGGATGCTGAGAAAGGGGAACCCTCCTACACTGCTGGTGGCAATGTAAACTAGTTCAACCATTATGGAAAGCAATATGGAGGTTCCTCAAAATACTAGAAATAGAAATACCATTTGACTCAGGTATTCCACTCCTAGGAATTTACCCAAAGAAAACAAGTTCTCAGATTCAAAAAGACATATGCACACCTATGTTTATTGCAATTATATTTACAATTATAGTTTTACTTGTTCTAATCAATCATAAAAGTTAGTACTACTTTCTCATTCTTTCCTGAAACTTGAGGTACATTCTTTCCATTCATTCAATTCTCTCTCGTTAACATTCTTTTAACATGTTTAAAAATTTCAAATTGTATTTGTTTTTTGAAGCTGTTATTGGTTAGGCTGAACATTTTTCCTAGACAAACATCCATAAATATGTACATTTGTGACATAAACCAAAAATGTATGTTCTGGTTTTGATATTCACTGAATATTCAAATAAGTGCATATGAACATACCACAGACGAAGTTTGAAATCTGGGGTTCAGAACAGGGGATGAAACTTTGATATTGTATGTTTAAGTCTTTAGGCCTGTTTGTGGACTTTTTTGAGAAGAACTCTATAGCTGTCATCACATTTTCCTAAGGGTGTAAAACTGCAAAGGGGTTAAAACTTCCAAAGATGTATTATCAGTTTAAAGAAATTAAAACTATAATTAAATATTACATAAGATTTTACACCATATTAGATGTTGTAATCTTTCTGATGAATCAGATGAGTCTTGGATCTTATGGAATACCAATGAGTCACTAATCATTCAGTCATTAATCCTTTTCAGCCATTTTAATGTGGAATATGTGGGAGTTTTTACACTTTAAAAAATTAAAAGACAGTAACTACACAGTCAGTTAACATACAACCAATATTACTCATACAAAATAAAAATATTCAATTAATTATGCTACATGGCATTAAGGCATTAAACAGCAGTGAAAATATTTCTACAAAGCCAAAAATAGCTCTCTAAGACCGCATGTTTTACAGAATAGGAAAAGAAAAAATCCTAGGGTCCTATTACCTGGCACCCTATCCTAAAAAACTAAAAATAATTAAAACAAGGGCTGTCAGAAGTCCAGTGTTTTAGATACTAAAGAAATTTGATTATAATGCTCAGTAGGTAGCTAAAACAGAAGGTGTCCTTTTGTAAGATAATGAACAGCAAGAGAAAGGCCTACTTCTAGAAACACCATAACATCCAAAACAGCTCAAATTTAATCACACTGCTTTCTAAAAGATGGAGACTTTTAATGGAAGACAGGGTATTAATAATAACTTAGGAACATAAGTCATTCCTGAGGTAAGCTTGGGAGCACCAGGTGATGTGCCACATCATGAGAGAAAAGGCAGGGCCCTCTAGGGCCTCAACATTTGTGGAAAGAACAAAAATCAGAGGTTAACAGTAAAAAAGGATGACACAAATACTTTCGCTATTCTCTCCCTACCTGTGCACTCAAGTATTAGGAGGGTAAGCACAAACAGGGCTCTCTTTACTCTTCTCATTTGTTCATTGAGTGAAGCAGGCATTGTGATACTCATCAAGCAAGCATGAACCATATACTGTTAGCAAATTTGGAAATGTTTTACAGCCTGCCTAAATTTCTATATTTAGCAAGAACAGACAATACGAACAGAATTAATGCATCTCAAGTTTAAAAAAATATTAAGCTATTTCTTAAAATCTCAGACAAGGCTAAAATTAAACCTCTTCATATGTGTTATCTAAGAAAATAGGGTCAATGTTATATGCAATGCAAAAAACTGCATACCAAACTTTTATCTAGCCAGCTTTCCAGGGCAAAAATAAATGTCTTTCAGAGAAGATAACTACTATAAAATCTCAAAATCCTAAAAAGGTAGCAATGACCTGTCTTCCTATGTGAAAGAGGAATATGAAAGATGTTAAGTTGTACCAAATTGCCTCTACTGCATTGAATTTAACATTTAAAAAATTAATTTTAATGAAAAATTTTAACTAAAGATATGTAAGAGAATAAAGGTTTTCCCATCTGCCTAAATTTGAGCTGCATAAAGGTAATTTCCTTCCATATAAACAGTTACGTACATTTGGATGTAATATTTAGATTGTGACTCTGCATTCACAAAATAATGTTGCTTTATATAATATAAAAACGGCATGGCTGTGGTTTGCTCCTATACTTTCATTCTGGTACTTCTTTGTGATAATAATGCTAATGAAGTAGATCCATTCCTGAACACAAAAGCAGCGCTCTTTGTCTGACTCTCCTGCAAAACACTGAAGGATGAGTTCTAGCAACAGAAATAAAAATGTAAGTGTAACTAAAGTTATAAGATAGATAGTTATAACACTTCACTATCTTGCTAGTAGTAAAGACATCTGACTATATTTTAAAATATATGTTAGAGTTTCAACGAATATGTTCAGATAAAATTGATGACATTCATTTTAATTTAGAATCTTAGGAGAAATAGAGAAATATACTATCTTTGTAATAACAGATGGTTTATTACTTCTTATGAATTTTTTTATTAAGGAACTCGATCCCCTAAACATATCAGAGATAGAAGATACATGTAAGTATATAGCAAATACTACAGTTCCGCAATACTTTCATTACATACATGATTTAATAACAATGTCAGAAGGCACATGATTATGATGATAATTTAAAATTTATATTGAGTTATCAATGCTTTAGAAACAGCTATCATTTTATTCCATATTACTATCATTTGTTATTTTTGAAAATAATAGATTTGCGGGTTTACTAAAAACTTTCAATGGTAGGAATTGAAACATACCAAGTGTGTAATATTTTTAAATTATATCTTCTATCAAGTCAGGTAGACATTATTATCAGTAAGGTAGCTTATTCCTTAATTTGGCAGGCCAATTAAAGCCGGTCAGATAACAGTGGCCATTGGAAAAGGATCACACATTTGTAACAAACTCCCAAGATGGGCAAATGTAACATTCAGACAGAAAAAAATCCGATGTGAGAAAACTACTAAGGTGAAAGAATGCAAGGGTGTGTGGAACAGTATAATGGGGTAGGGAACGCAGACTATGGTAAAAAGTAAAGTCAAATGAAAATATTAAGAGAAATACATATTTAAACAAAAATTTCTCTGCTTCAACCTTAATGTTTTCCTTTCTGCTAAAACAACAGAAATCATCAGGGTTTTCAATAAAACACTCCTTTGCAGTCTTCATCAGACTTAGGTTCTAATTTCCCATCTAGATTTAATAGCCTTCACATAATCATTTTCCTACAGACTGTTCTTTACATTATACGTTAACAAATATTAACAAAATATTCTGACCACATGAAATATGACTGCCCCCATCCACCCACTAAAGAGTATACTTTAAGCCCATTCCACAGTAATAAAATTTGGGTATATATAATTAAAAAAATTAAATTGCAGCAGCTGGCATGTAGTAGATAAAGACAGAATTTCATCAGCAACACCACAGTTTCATATTTAACATCTCTAAAATGTGGCTACATCTAACGATTGACAGTGAAGCATTGCTTAATTGGCAGTACTTCTCCTTTGTTAATGATAAATAAAATAATGCCTTCTAAAAATGATGTTGTTTCAGATTAGATTAAGTAGAGCAATAAATGTTAAATTTAGTGAACTAAATTAAACCAAGGTGAAATTAAACCAAGGCCTTTTCACTATATTAACACACAGAAAACTGAAATTCATGTTTTTTGATTCACTCATTTGTATATTGGTTTGTTTAAAAGCTTACATTATTATAAAGATTAAGTTATGTCTCTTTAAAAAGCAACCCAAGTACTATGTCTTTTGAGGCAATTAATCCTTTCACATTTAAAGTAATTATTGACAGGGAAGGACTTACTATTGCCACTTTCTTCACCATCTTCTGTATTTTAGCCCTTTTGTCCCTTGTTTACACTCTTAAGTCTTCGTTTGAGTTTCATTCATTTTTTTGCAGTGACATATTCAGATTCCTTTCTCATCTCTTTTGTATCTTCTATAGGTATTTTCTTTGTGGTTACCATGTAGTTTACATAAAACACCTTACAGTTATAACAATCTATGCTAAACTGATAAAAAATAAACTTCCATCACATACATACAAAAACTCTCCAATTTTACTTCCCCTATACACTTTATGTAACTGATTTTGTAAGTTACATCTTTTTATATTGTGCATCTATTAACATCTGTTTACAGGTAGATTTTTTTATACTTTTGTCTTTTCTGTACAAGAATTAGATTTTTATACCATCATTACTGTATTACAGTATTCTGTTTTTGTCTATGCATCTTCTAGCTTATTTTATACTTTCACATGATGTCGTATTGCTGTTTACCATCCTTTTCTACATTTTTTCTTTAGAATCTAAAGACCATATTTATTTTATAAATATAAATGGCCAAAAAACATGCATCAGTGTTGTCTGCCAATTATAAATCAGAATTGAGTATCTAAGACCTAGGGTACTGAAGGAGTGTGTTCCTGAAACCAATAAACCAGTTCCAGTCCATTAAAATTTCAACCAGTTATAATACCTACCAGTCCCTTTGCTTACATATGGTGGCTTAAAGAACTTCACAACACCATAAACATTGACAATCATACCACTCTTAAGTTGATTCAGGGGTGTATATATGTAATGTGTTGCTGGAACCTAAAGAAAGAGAAGAGAGTGAGATATCAATATTCAATATTGGTATTTTAGAATCATGTTATGATCAAATTTGTAAATAGCAAATCTAAGTACATTTTTTTCCATTTAAGTGTCTAAAAAGAGGCTGTAGCCTGAAAAAAAGTAAGTGCATAGCATATAAAAATTTCGATAAACAAACTAGTTTTTCTTAGAAATAACTTTGATTATAAATGATACAATTTGTACACAGTTCTAAGAAAAGCAGCTTAAGAGATTTTGGTTCTGGTTTTTAACTTTATTTACTATCACCTCAAAACTTGTGGTGTGTGTTTATATAATATATATATATATATATATTTTATTTAAGCCTAAATAAAGTCAGGTTTTGATTACAAATGGTATAAAGACATTCAAAATGGTAATAAAAGAAAAGAGGAATTTTCTGAAATAGTTGTACATTAAGTCTGGAAAGAAAAGGGAACATAATTTATAAAGATATGTCTTCATAATAGTAAAACAATCCTTAAAAGGGTTCAGACATCTGGCCTCATTACCCAACATTCTGATCCTCAATTAGCATAAGGTTACCTATCACACTAAGAGTTAAAATTTTTTAAAATCATCAAAATTAATTAATTGGCTTCTTCAAGGAAGCTGACTGACCCCTTGGGCATATATAAGGAGGGCAGGACTTAAAAATCTCATCAAACCTTGATATAAAAAAGTTGTAGTTCATTAGTGAAGAAAGAAAAATAATGGTCAGCATATGAGACAGATAAGAGAAGATATGTGCTCAGCTAACAAAATAACTGGACCTAAGATATTATCTTAACAACTATCTTCCTAATGTAGAGCTGAATAGGGAAGGCCAGCACAACTCAAATAACATACTTGTTAATTCATGACCAACAACATCTGATCTATAATTTGGCTTTCCATGTAAATAAACCAGTATATCTATACATAGCAGGTAAGTAATTCTAATAGTTCAGAATACCTGAGCTTTCTGAAAAAATATTTTGCTAAGATCAGAGGCACTTTCATTTACTTTTGCCTTACTTACAGGGTCATGGATATATAAAACAATTGAAGTTGACCTCTCCATAACAATTATGAGACATACTAATACCCATGGCTAATTCACATTTTTTAAAAGTACATCAATCCTCTTATTGGTTACAGTTTCCTTAAATAACAAATTTAAATTGTACTACAATAGTATTGTTTAGAATTTAAAATCTGTATACTGTAGTTATTGTCAGGTAGAAACAAAGTTCTTGTACGCAGTCCATTAGAAACTAAAGGTTTAAGAACATAGGTAGAAAGTAAACTTTACATTAAACTTTATCAACATATTACCTTTCCAATTTCACTTAGTTACAAGTAGCTCACCTGTAAAAATGGGAACCTTCCTATTGCTATAACATTTTGTAAAATATTGGAAAAAAGGACAAAAAAGAAAAGCAAAATGTATTATGTCAACTTCTTCACTTTAAAATCACATGATGTCAAATCACAATTCAGCACTAATCTGTTTAATACAAACTGATGAAGAACAAAAGAATCTGCCTGAGCTTTAAGTCATAAAAATCCCAGTGTCTTCACACAATACAACTATTTTTTCCATTTTAATTCTCTGTGTATGTACTTATATAAAATATCATAAGATACTCCAGAAAACAGAACAGCAAGATATTATTTACTAGGTAAATATGTAACTTGAATTTAACGTTGTCATGTATCAAAAAAGTAGAGATTATGTCTTCCCATTGTATTGATACTAATTCAAAATCAGACCATAAAATGGATCGAATATAGATGAGTGTGTGTGTATATATATGTACATATATACATCTGTATATGTGTGTATACACATGAGGGTGTGTAATACATATTCTAAATTAAACTGAAAATCATCTTACCAAAGACATTGATTCTGTAGAAAAATCTCTTACAGATTTAACATAAACCTGAAAACAAAAAGAGGACTTATTTTACAAATGACCTCCGATGTGACTACAAATCTTTAATTGTAGGAAAACTATACATATAACTGTATAATACTCAAAATCACTGGAACAGCTTAAAGTTATGGCTTACAAATTAAGAGTGACATGTGCAAAGTTGTATAAGCTAAATTTCAGTCTAATCCATTAATTTTAATATCATAAGACCATCTCTAGCCCATATAATGCTCTTGTGAATACTAGAAACCTAGGCAGATGGTGGCCTGCAGGCACATGGCTTGGCCCAACTCTACTTTGTACCTGACAGATCTGACCAAAGAAGTAGTCGTCAAAAAAGGAGGAGGGGGAGGCACACACAGAAGAGGGGATGAGTACCTTCATAAAGCATAAAATAGGAAGGTATCAGTTTTACCTAAAAGGGAGGACTTATCAATTTAAAGTGAAGTTAAGCAGAATCAAAGAGACTGATGGTATAATTGCAAAGAATAAACTCAGGTCTAGAGGGTCCGTGAAGTTTTAAGTTTTTCATTAATAATAACTAAGGGATCTTTCTTGTCTCCTGGAGTCATTATAAACATAAAGCCAAGAAAAGAATTCCTATTTTTAAAATCTAAAATACTTAATTAAAATAACTGTCAGAATAGTTTATCTGCATATTTATTGAAATACTACAGCTCATTAAAACCACAATATGATTGGAGACTAAAAGTTACACTCACATAAACAGTTGATTTGCAGTCTTCAAATGCTTTCAAAAATAAGCATTGTTTACCATCACTACTTGTAGATGAAGAGCTTGACAAAACAATAAATCCAGCCACAGCAATGGTGTCCTACAGAGCAAAAAATGGTTTTAAATCATCAAAATATCAATAATTCTGGAAGTCAAAAAAATCCTTGTTTTTATTATTATTTAGAAACAGCAATTATTTCTGTATAATGGACAACTAGTTAGCCTAAACTTCTTTAATGCCTTCCGAATATAAGGTTAAGACCACCTCCTCTAAATAGCTATCAACAATGTAGCCATTGATAATACCTCACTTCATGCATCAGGAAAATACTAACTATATCACCTAGAAAATTTTACTTCAAAAATCAATGTTTATTTCAATTTATGTTAATAAGTTTGCATGAATAAACACAATGAAGAGATAACAGGTAATCCAACAGTAACTAACAATGGAATTTAAATGAAACTAAATCTCAGAGTTGAGAGAATACACTAAAACTTGTCATCTGTGTAAAAACTCCATATTGTTATGAAGCTAATATATAAGCATACAATTCCAGAGTATGAGATATAAATAGGAAATTTCCATTTATATATTAATAAGAACAAAAATTATTTTTGTAATAAGAAGCCAGTCTCCATTTATTCCTGCCTCTCATTTTTTAGTTAAATCTCTCTCTTCTTTCCAAATATTGGTACATACACTCAGCAAGTTTTGTCTTGCTGCATTTTGTGCATGTGTGCATGTATTTTTATTATCTTAATTTGATTTTAACTCCAAAATCTATAAAAAATTTCCTGGGCTTTAGGCAACTTCCTTCAGTAATCCTAATCTCTACCAAATGGAAATCTTCTGTATTACTGACTTGTTTAGCAAACACAAGGATGTCATGTAAGCCCCCAGATTATCTATTGCGATCCATTAACTAAGCTGTGAGCACCTTGAAGTCAGGGGTCATGTCTTACTCTGCTTTGTATTTACAGAGCTTGACACAAAGTAGACCTCCATAAGCAAACTGTGAACCAAAGGAGGGACTTCCATTGCCTTTCTAAACCCCTATCCAGATATTTTAGCTTGGCTCATTTCTGTATTTTTTTTCCTTCAGGTGTGACTGCAAACACAATTGGGTCTATGCTATAATGCTAAAAAACCACAACTCTTTATGATGAGAAAATTTTCTTCTCACTGAAAATTTTCCAAGTTTCTCTCATGTTTTAGACAATTTTAAAGAGGAATGAAATAAACAGTAAGAAAAATATACAATGCTTTCAATTTATCTCAGACTAATATATTCAGATTTAAATGAAAATTTGAGATTTTAGTCAAATAGTTAAAGTTGTTTAACAGAACTAATACACATAGATAAAAATAAGTACAAAGTCACTGGTTTAACAATTCTCTTAAGAGCACAAAAATAACTTGTCATTTTATATTTTACTTTAAAATGTCTTAAACACAAATATTACATGGAAAGAAATATACTAAATGCAAATATTAGGGGTAAAGATGCACATTTTTCTATTTTTCTGTATAATCTAAACTTAAGAACAAAAAGTACTTCTTTTATGATGGAGAAAACACTTTTAAAAGAGAGTAAAGCACAAAAAGCAGGATATCACCATTCATAGNGTGGCGCCGGCGGGAACTGAGGACCCCGAAGAGAAGCCGGAAGTTTGCCATCTTACTGGTGGGGACCCTTCAAAATCTGTTTTAGATTGTCCCTCTCCCAGAAAAATAATCCTTCCTTCCTTCCTTCCTTCACTTTGTGTGTTACGTATACAGTTCTTAATGCTTTTAATGCCCTTAAAACTCTGTAAAATTCCTGAGACTAAGAATAATGTCTTATCCACCTATATATCCCATACCAGTGACTGGCAGAGGCTTCTGTTCATAGTCAGTGCTCAGCAAGTATCTGTTAAACAAACTAATTAATACTGGTAAAAACTGAAGTACAAATCTAAATAAAAGAGGGTAAAAAAATGAAATGAGTAAGCCTTAGGATTCAATTCCTATGAATTTATATATCATAATGGCTTTTACATTAATTCAAATACATAGAGAAAAAGAAAAATTAATACATAGTAGGCATTATTCATTTGTATAAATTCACAAAGATTGAAAATGAGATTTAATACACATTGCTCTAAGTTCTAAACTTATGAGAAGAGTATACTGAAGCCACTCAAATAAGAACGGGAATTACACAGTTCTGTGCTAAGAGTATATTCTGATATACTAAAATAGGTGTTTAATCTCAATTTGCTGAAAAAGTATTAGGAAACCAACCTAAGAAGAATACCATATTACTAAAAATGGTAAGGCTTTATGAATATCTGTTCATGAACGTTCTAAAAGCGTAAACACATTTGGTATGGCTGAATCTTTGAACGGACTCAGCATACTCAGTATCAGCAAATAGGTCACTTCCCTTTTGTGCCTGTGCTACCCTGTCAGAGAGGCTTTGAAAGAATGAGCCCTTATCAAACAATTCCCAACAGGAATATTCTACTACACACCAGTCTCAGAGAAAATGAATGAAATCAGTACCATTTTTAACATGAAAAAAATGTTTTTTAAAAATATGAAAAACCTAAAAGGGGAAAAAAACAAAAGTCAACTTATTTGCATATTGAGAAATACAGTTTTTACATGCTAATATTGCCTAAAGAAAAATACAATATGGTATGATAGGCAAATAGGTGAATGAAAAAAATGTAAGCCACAAAACTAATATATTAGTTTGCTAATTTTTAACATATAATACATTAAAAATTCTCAAGTTGTTACCCTTAAGGAGCAGGAAAAAGGGCACAGAAAATATGAAACAATTGATAATCCAGTAAGAAAAACACTTACTTGACCTTAACCGGCATTAAGTAATTTTTACTATACTGACCTTTTAAGTCTTGGTAATATGTTGTATTTTAAAACACTGTGAGAATGAAAGGGTACAGGGAAAAGCCAGGGATCTGACATCAGGGATAGTGCAGTGATGGGCAGGAAATGTTTCTCTACTACAAAAAATGTATTTCATGGGTATTAGCATCTACTGGATCATGTAACAAGGACACAATTGAAATAATATATGTAATATTAGTATAAAAAACCAGAATCTTTAAATGGCCTATAAATCACCATATGATCTGATGCCCACACACCTCACCAGCTACACATTGTGTGACTCACTTTAGAATTCTGCCTTTTTATAATTCTTGAGCATTCCACCATCCTCATTCAGGACCTTTGCATATACTGTGCTCTCTTACTGATCCACTCTCCCAGTTCCCCCATGCTCATTCTTTCTGCTACTTTTCTCATTCTGCTGCTCAATCTTCTTGATTACATATCATATCTGGATGAAATAATTAATTACATATTAGTTGTTTAATTCTACTCTTCTCCACTGAACACTATTCCACGATGGCAAGATCCGTAACAATCTAATTCAGTTTAGATCTCTCTGACATATAGAATGAAGATAGAAGACATTCAACAAATATTTGGACAACTAAATGAACAACCAAGCATACGAATACATACACAAGTACTCTATGTATATGTATAATATACCCTCATTAAATCTCAAATAAAATAAGCTATACAACTGTTAGAAAACTTACTTAATTGAATCTTAGCTTTTTAGAACTGAAAAGGACTTTACAAATCATGTAACCAAGCGCCATCATTTTTCAAATAAGAAAACAAGGGCCAGAAAGATAAGTAAATAGTCTCAGGTCGCATATAGCTAATTAGTTCTGGATCAAGACAAGAATCCAGGTCTCCTGACTTCCAAGACAGGGACTACTCTATCTCCTCTTTCAAAATAATTTCTTATAGGGAGGGGGAAAATGTATTAATAAATGTCTATGATTTTGACAGTTTTATGATAAATTTTTTTAACTTTCAAAATACTTTGGAAAAGGCTTTCCTCTAAATTTATATTCATATATTGAGTGCTAAATCTTACTTAAAAGCTAAAATTGAAAAAAATCCCTCATATGGAAGGAGGTTTAGTTGGAACATGTGTATTCCTGCAAAACATGTGTATCATTAATCTAGCAAAGCAAGGACTAAATTTTCTAAAATTAATTTTAATGTTGTAGGGTTGGAGTCGTATTCAAATATGGGGCTAACCTAAAGGCAACAAGCAAGTCACAAGAAAGGTATAAGAACGGAATTAGAAAATTCATTATTTTATGCAAAAAAATTACCATTTGATTTGTAACAATCTTTAAACTTAATACTATAAACTCTAAAATAACCTAATTACACCTCTCAAACGATCAGTATTCATGGTTTTTAAACCCAAAAAAGAATTTGAAGTAAAATGTGACTTCAGTGTTCTCACCATTTTAAAAAGGAGAAACCCTGACTTACTACTATTATTAACATTCTCTATTACCTGACAAGTACTAATTAGTTAATATATTTCTACTCTATTTTAGCGAATGCCTATTTCTAGTATATTTCAATAGCAGAAAACACCTCTCATATGTCATTTAGATAAAATATTAATATGTAATATATTATACATTTTACTAATGCATTATACATGTTTTGTACATTGTACATAATTAGCAAGGTTATATTATATCATAACCCTTGTTTCTCAGATAAGAGTTTAATACATAATAGAATATTAAAGGATAAAGATAAACATTTGTTTATATTATAGATATCCAATATCATGCATTTATTTTTTAAACTCTTCTCTAAATGTCCAAGATATGTTGTGAAATAAAGCAACTTATAAAACATGAATAGTATGAAGTCATTAGGTGAAAAAAGTTGCATGTATCAGCTTACATATACACACATACACACACACAAACATAGATATATACAGAGATATATTAAGTATACAGATTATATATATTACACACACACAATGGTTTTCTCTACTGAAGACAGTAGTCAATGGGAGTGGGTTCACAGGCAGTGGGCAGCTTTGTTTTGTAGTTGAATGTTTTTGAAGCCATGACCATGCAAGAACAAAGTCTTCTAAACCACATATTTGCAAGACTTAATCCAAGTCTACACTATCTCCGTGAGGCAGGAAAAGAATATAGTCATGGAGATAAAGTAGTTTCTCCACTTAC